AACTGTGGGTGTGTGGCGATGCGGGCGATGGCTCGTTCGGATAGGCTAGCTTCTTTATTCCGGCACACTTTCTCAAAGCTGATGTCCTTCTGTAGGGCGACCTTGGTGACGCTGTCAGACGTGACAGCTTTCAGCTCATGGATCTCCTCCCGAAGTCTAGCTGCTCGCCTGCGGAACTTCTCCAAGTCTGCCTCACTACCTTTCTTCTTCTCCAGGACTGAGATCTGACGGATGAGTTTCCGGATGAGGAGCACCTTCACCCTTTTAACCTCCGCCCTCATTTTGACCACCTCATTGCTGAGGTTCAGTGCTGTAGGCATCTTTGTGTGCGTTCTGAAAACTGAACTGAGAAAAGCAACAAGTCGTGTAAGTGTGCTAATGAAAGGTGTTTATTTATTTATTTATTTTTATGTTTTGATATGTTTTAACATCATCCTCATTAATTCCAAACCTGTATTCTGTTGTTTTCCAGTTAAACACAACATTTAATTTCTGAAGTATGTACCTCAGTTTTAGGATCACAGATCTGTTTAATTTCAGTAGAGCAAAGAAAATCTGCATAGACAGTAATGTATCTGAAATGTGCCCAGGCCCAGAAACATAGTAAAGACATCGTTAAAATAGTCCTTGTGACATCAGTGGTTCAACCGTATTTTTATGAAGCTATAAGAATACTTTTTGTGTGCAAATAAAACAAAAATAATGACTTTGTTCAACAATTCTTCTCCTCCACATCACCGTCCGTCGCCATTCATGAGAGTACGCTTGCGTTGTGGTACTCTCAGAATTGTTGTTACTATTACGGTTACGGTTGAACCACTAATGTCACATGGACTATTTTAACGATATCCTTACTACGTTTCTGGACCTGGGCACATTTCAGATACATTGCTGTCTATGTAGGGTTAGAAAGCTCTCAGAACTCATCAAAAATATCTTAATTTGTGTTCTGAAGATGAACAAAGGTCTTATGGGTTTGGAACGACATGAGGGTGAGTAATTAATGACAGAATTGTAATTTTTCGGTGAACTTTTTGAAATTGGGTGAAATTTTTGGCTCTGACGCTTAAATCCAGTGTTTTCTTTGAATGAGAATAATCATAAACACTACCATTCAGTTTATCCCTTTGTTCACAAAGGCTGCATTTATTTGATGAAAAACAGTAAAAAAATAGTAATACTCTGAAATATGACTACAATTTAAAATAAGAGTTTTCTATATGAATACATATTCAAATGTAATTTATTCCTGTGATGGTAAAGAAGCATCATTACTCCAGCCTTCAGTGTCTTCAGAAATCATTGTAATATGCTGATTTGCTGCTCAATATATATTTCTTATTATTATCAATGTTACAGTTGTGCTACTAGGTATTTTTGGGTAAACATGATGCATTTTTCAGCATTCTTTGATGAATACAAAGTTTTAAAAAAAAAATCACCATCTATTTGAAATAAATTTAACATAATAAATGTGTTTACTGTCACATTTCAATTCAAGGCATCCTTCATGAATAAAAGTTATAATTTATTTAATAATAATAAAAATTGACCCCAAACTTTTGAACGATAGTGTATCATACGGAAGAGGATTAGGGCCAAGCAATAATAAAATAAATAAAACCATCTCGAGATTTAAACACATTTTGTTTCAAGAAAAAAAACGTTAAATTTCAAGAAAATGTTGAGAATAAACTGATTAAATTTCGAGAAAAAACTTGTTAGATTTCGAGAAAAAAGGTCGAAATAAATTGTTGAAAATAAACTCATTAAATTACGAGAATAATAACAGACTTTTGCCGAACAAGCTCTTCTTCCTTTTTTCATCACATATCACATCGGATGCTATTTACACAAAGTGAAAATAGATGATATTTACACGAAGTGAAAATGGTGATATATTCTATTTACACGAAGTGACAACAGCAGCATTTTTAGCGATGTGGTATTTATAGATGATATTTACACTGTGAAAATAGCGATTCTATTTACGCTATGTAAAAGTAGCAGATCTTTGCAATAAGTGTAAATAGTAATTAGACGCTATTTATGCTTATAAATAGTGACAGATACTATTTGCACCTCAGTATTGTTGTACATTAACAGGATACAATAATAATATAGAGTGTAAATGATTTTATTAATTAAAATGATTAAATAGACGCTGCCTTATTGGTACAAAGCCCTCCCTATAGCCTACTAACCTAAACCTACCCAATTAATACATCATTAAACACTCGTTAGGCAACTGATTTCCACTTTTCCGATGTGATATGTGATGAAAAAAGGAAGAAAAGCGAGATCTGCAAAAGGCGGATTCGAACTCCAGTCGACCGCATCGTATGCTTCATCCACAAGCATTACTTATGTTATATTAGTTAGATAACGGCACTCATCTATCAACAGTGTTGCCAGATTATAGTAACATTGTTGGCATGGTTTTGGCCAAATTACTTTTGGTCCTGAGATACACATCTAACCTGACACAACGTGTAATAGAGGAATACTTGATTTGAAAGCGTGCAGAGGGAAATATTTTCTGTGAGTATTGACTATCAGCCTCTTCTCTACACAGATCTATCTTATATGACTTCAAGAGACGAGAAAAGATGTTTGGAACAACACGAGGCTTATTCATTTTGGGTGAAACATTCATTTAACATTATTTTACTAACATTGTTTCATTGTATTTTTAGATACAGCGGGTTTTATTAGGGAAGCACTAGGCAATTATAGTTTCGACTAATAATTTCACCTGCACTCGATCTAAACTAAATATGTCACAAACACCACTTGAAATACACTTACCTCAACTGTTAGTGATTCTTCCTTTTGGCACTGATTGGTCTGTTCATTTATTGTCTCTAGACTCGTCTTCTGGCTCTCCTGTGTGGAACCATCAATCTCCTCTTGCCTGTCTTCATCTGTCTTTTTATCACCCTCATCCTCTTTCAGTTTCTCATCATCATCTTCATCGCTTGACTTCTCTGAACCCAAATCATCATCATCATCGCTGTCTGCTTGTGACTGATCTAGCGACGTGGCGTTTTCTGCATTGTTTTTTGCTTGTTCTTCTGCATTTATTCTCTCTTCTTTGAAGGCTTTGATGGCTGCCTTTATGCTCTGGATTTTCTTGCTGAACTGTGGGTGTGTGGCGATGCGGGCGATGGCTCGTTCGGATAGGCTAGCTTCTTTATTCCGGCACACTTTCTCAAAGCTGATGTCCTTCTGTAGGGCTGCCTTGGTGACGCTGTCAGGCGTGATAGTCTTCAGCTCATGGATCTCCTCCCGAAGTCTGGCCACTCGTCTGCGGAACTTCTCCAAGTCCGCCTCACTTCCTTTCTTCTTCTCCAGGACTGAGATCTGACGGATGAGTTTCCGGATGAGGAGCACCTTCACCCTTTTAACCTCCGCCCTCATTTTGACCACCTCATTGCTGAGGATCAGTACTGCAGGCATCTTTATGTACTTTCTGAAAACTGAAATGAGAAAAGCAACAAGTAGTGTAAGCGCGCTAGTGAAAGGTGATTTTTGTATTTTTATGTTTTACATATGTTTTAACATCATCCTCATTAAGCCATGCTTCTCAACATTTTCGATTTCAGCACTGGGCTGTTACTTGCTCAGAAACACAAGGAATTTGTCACAGCAATACTACCACTATAAATATATAAAAACATTTTAACATGAAATTATAATACAATTTTCACCATTTTCTATTTTCGATAAATAATCATTTATCTGGAATACAAATATTTTGCAACATTATAAATGTTGTTACTGTCACTTCTGAACAATTTAATGCATCTTTGGTGAATAAAATAAAAAAAACTGTAGAGAGAGCGCTTTCATTTCTTTCAAAATAAAATAAATAAAAAAATCTTACTGACCCCAAGTTTTCTAGACTAAACTATTCTGAACTACACAAAAAAGTAATTGTAAACAAAATAAATTGAATTTTTAAAGCTACATTTAAAGTCTTGTTTTCAGTATCAAATCACAGGTTTCAAATATAATTGTATTTTTATTATTATAAATTATTATTATTTTAAGTAAAAATCTGTTTTCAGTTGTACAATTTAATTTTTTTTCTGACTTTTGGCCACATCTGTTGTGAGAATGTATTTCCATATTATTATCATATGTTTATAGATATTGTATACATACAGTATGTGCAAATTGTGACAGTATGTAAGAAATTTAATAAATATTAAATAAATTAATACACACAGCACAGTGGTCATATTGCATCATAATTGCAGTGATCTTTGTGTACATAATCTTAAACATATTGACCAAAACATTTATTTAAGAGTTTAAAACACTTTATGTACATTTAAAGACAACCGTAACGCTGAACAAGTTTTTACATAAATGCAAAATAATCACACAAATGATTAAACATCACAACAGTGCAATCACAAGTGCAAGTAAAAAGTTTGTGTACGTAATGTTTTACTAAAACGGAGTACTGTGTGCAACATTATGCAACGCAAATATAATGTTGACATGATCAGATCTGTGAAATCCACACTACTAATCTGAGTGACTTACAAAATAACACAAACAAACATTGCCAATAAACATAGATGTAACCTCCCCACAACTTATACTTCATAAAATGTTACTAAAATAATAATTAATTCTCGCGACATGTTTAACAAGTTTTAGTTTCTTCTCATCCAGCTCAAGCATGGCTGAAGGAGGCATGTGTTGGAGTGATCCGAAGTGTTCTATTTAAAAACACCACGTTTGCACAATATGCCACCAGTTTCACTTCAGTGTTATTATACAAACCATCACATCCACAAGTTATGTCAATGTTAACACTTACCTTCACAAAATAAACATGAAAATCAGACAGAAGTGCAGTCAGCTCAGGACGCCGCCATCTTGCTTTGGGAACGTAACGCAGAGCGTACGGCGTCGTTACGTCACGAGGCGTCCAGAATAAAAATGGGAGGGCCTCACGCAGACTGTTTTTATTTCTTTCTTTGTGTCTAGCTAGTGGAAGGAAAACACTGACAGTCCCACATTCGCGTAGCGATGCGCATCAGTATTAGGACGGCCACGTAGCTTCCCCTCGAGTGTTCAGAGTTGCTGGAATCTAAAGGGTGGAGAATGAAGCGGCGCAATGCGGACTGCAGCAAACTCCGTCGCCCGTTGAAACGGAACCGAATCACCGAGGGTATTCACAGCAGGTACGGACGGAGAAGCTCCCGAGCACCGACCGCACCGTAATGGCGTCTCCGAACAGAGCTGTCACAGTCAGATACAGATGACAGTTCAGGGTGATCATTCACTCCGGCCTGAGTATGTAGCATAGACGAGGATGCTGGCTTCTGTGTATCATCCATAGGCTTCAGTAGTGCAGAATATGAAATAACAAGTTGTACACCTAGTACTGGCCCTGTCATGAATGTTCTTATGCAGTTGTCTTTTATAGCCATCATCACAATATCCAGCTTGTGCAAATGTGTTTTGGATCATGGTAGCTGGTCATTGGCTGCTCAACCAGCTACAATACAAAAACAGCTTGACCAACTGGTAGCTGGATTGTTGCTGGTCAACCAAGAAAATAACTACAAAGCTTCAGCTGGATCTTATAGTAGGGCATTGAGATGTCTTATGTTGATGTCACATTATTGAAACGTTTCTGCCATCTACGCTGTTTTCCACATGTGTTGGGTTATTGTAATGAAGTACAAACTGGTTGATTTTAGACCGTTCTTGTTCTAGAAATGTTTAGATTAAACCCTGTGCAATTTAATCCTTCTAGTTTTGGCTAATTCCACGTGACGCTGTGTTGACCCAGGCCCATCTGAAAAAATGAGTGTGTCTGAACACTACCAAGATCTGCTCTGCCAAGACCTCATTGGCTGAGTATATTTGAGTAGTTTTTATATATGTGACCCTGGACCACAAAGCCAGTCATAAGGGTATTTTTTTATTTATTGAGATTTATACATAACCTGAAAGCTGAATAAATACGCTTTCCATTGATGTATGATTTGTTAGGACAATATTTGTTCCGAGATGCAACTATTTGAAAATCTGGAACCTGAGGGTGCAAAAAAAATTAAAATCTAAATATTGAGAAAATCGCCTTTAAAGTTGTCCAAATGAAGTTCTTAGCAATGCATATTACTAATCAAAAATTAAGTTTTGATATATTTACGGTAGGAAATTTACAAAATATCTTCATGGAACATAATCTTTACTTAATATCCTAATGATGTATGGCATAAAAGAAAAATCGTTAATTTTGACCCATACGATCTATTGTTGGCTATTGCTACAAATATACCCGTGTAACTTATGACTGCTTTTGTGCTCCAGGGTCACATATGGGGTTCCCGTAGTTAAAAATGTCAGGGCGAAAAAAAACCTGGAAGAGTCATGGAAATGCCTGTAGTGATTTAGTGAATGCAAATGTCTGTGGTTATGGATGCTCACAGAAGCAGACTACTTTATAAAATGACTTTAGCACACAAATATATGTAACATAATGAAAATTAAATAATTTATAATAAAATTTTTTTTTTTTTTATTGCATTTAAATGAAATTCATACCTGATATATTAATAGAAATCCTCCCTAGAAATTATTTTAAAAGTGCTTACATGCATGCACTATGGACAGCTGGAACAATAATCAAAATGCATTTATAAAAAGGGTTTGCATAAGATTTCAATAATGATTTTTTTATGCTTCTTCTGATTTCTCTTGATCTGGCAGTACCTTCCTGTACCTGAAGTTCCTGGTCGTTTGGGCGCTGGTTCTGCTGGCTGATTTTGTGCTGGAGTTCAGGTTCGAGTACCTGTGGCCTTTCTGGCTTTTCATCAGGAGCGTTTACGATTCCTTTAGATATCAGGGACTGGTGAGTATTTGACCTCTCATTGATGTGTAATTGAGCAGTTATTGGCTCACTCTCTGCTTGATTCTTTATCAGTCAGTTTTATAAACGTCTCTGAGTGACGTGTTCTACACAGGCTAAATCGATCATCTCTACACGTCTCGTCTGATTCCACAGGCATTCTCTGTGTTCTTTGTGTGTGTCGCATTCACATCAGACATCATCTGCCTCCTGTTCATCCCCAAGCAATGGCTGTTCTTCGCCGCCAGCACGTATGTCTGGGTACAGTACGTGTGGCATACAGGTAGGTCAACATCGCCCAAGCCCCATCTGACTTTCCATTCAGTATCATTTTAGGAGCAAGGCCGCTTACACACTATGGAGTTGATTGAATTTTAGAGAACACATAGGGGAAATTATTTTGTGAAAGCAATGCTCTATCGTGTAACCGAAAGTTGCACAATCTGCCTTAGGCTTCCATTGACCAATGAAAACTTCAGACTTGTGCTTTCAGAAACCCAGTTGACTGTTTTCTTGTTTGATTTCAAACTGTCCCAGTTTATTCCACATGTCTGTCCACGAAATGCTCTGTCAGAAGTTTTGCTAGCGTGTAAGCACCTAAAGCCTTTGTCGCTGATTATTCAGTGGGTGTAATCCAGGAGCATATTACGCAACTGTTACCTTTTATATCAGTTACTAGAGAGGGTGATGTTGAAAGGGCTTTTCTTATGCAAACGATAGCATTTAGTTCTCTCTGGATATTCCTTTATCTTGAATGTGTTTGATGATTGCATAAAAGAAAAATATTAAAATATAAAAAAAAAAAATCCAAAGCACTTGTTGGTGATTGACATCATAGTTAATGTATTCATAGTTTATTCAAAAGTGTTTTTTTTTATGTTTTTGAAATGTCTCAACTTGATCAAACATACAGTAAGACAGGGATCTTATGAAATAATATTACAATTTAAAATATCTGAATATATATTTAAAATGAAGTTTATTCCCGTTATATCAATGCTGATTTTTGGCATTACTCGAGCCTTTAATGTCACATGATCCTTCAGAAATCATTCTAATATGCCGATTTGCTGCTCAATAAACATTTCTGATTATTATCAATCTTGTAAACGGTTCTCAAAATGCCTTTTTTCAGAAATTCTTTGAATAGAAAATAGAAAACGGCATTTGAAGTAGAAATCTTTGCATTAGAAATGTCTTTACTATCACTTTTGATCAATTTAATGCATACTTGCAGAATATACTGTATATGCATCCATTAGAGATTTACCCTGCTCTTGTATTTGAACTCTGAGTGAACAGCAGAGATCTTTGATGGATTTTCAAGTGCTCCTGTCATTATATGTCCTTTTCTTGGGTCGATTCAGTGATGCCTCAGGATAGAGGAGGAAAAGAAATGCTGACACTGAGTCATTGTTCCTTGAAAACTTCTTCAATGCGCCTTGAGCTGTGACTGTGATTGCTCCTGCTGACACACAACTTGAGCACCCTCTCAACAAGAGAGGGTGCTTTCAGCAAACTAGGGTTTTGTTTGCAGCCTAGAGCTTGTTTTGTGAAACCTGTGTGATGTTATTGATCTCCCAAACAGCCAGTGGCCTTTTATGCAACCTCTTGGATGTCTAGCGCACTAATGGACTAGAAGTCATTATAGTTTGAAGAATTATGCACGCCGTAAGAATGTCATAACTATTACAGGAGGCTAGAGATCAATTGTTGAACGTTATACATGGTTTTCCCTCTCTCTCGTTCTATTATCAGAACGAGGTGTGTGTCTGCCGACTGTCTCTCTCTGGATTCTCTTCGTCTACATCGAAGCAGCCATCCGCTTCAAGGATTCGAAACATTTTCACGTAGACCTTTGCCGTCCATTCGCAGCTCACTGGTAAGCTTTGCTTGCATTTTACTCACCCCCATGTCATTGCAAACCTGTATGATTTACTTTCTGTTATGCAACAAAAGAGGAGAAATTCTGAACTGTTCATGCTATTCTTTTCCAAACAATAAAAAGCAAAAACTCACTAGCTTCACTCACAATGCATCCTTTTAAGTTCCATGTAAAAAAAGAAGGTTTTGTCATTTTGGGTGAATTATCTCGTCAAGCGCAAAGTCACACCACGGTATTCTTCGCCGATTTTTGATTATTAAACATAGCTGATGTAACTGTACTACTTATAACGCAGAAGTCAGCTTTGTAAACACACTGGTGGCGTCTCCATAGCAGCAAATGGGAATGCTGCCATTATCTGAAGGTGTCTGATGTTGAGTCATCACTAGTTGTACCAATCATGTTTTTTTCTGTTTTCTGTAACATGCTGTTCTGTTCTTTCGTTGCAGCATTGGCTATCCCGTGGTGACGCTGGGCTTCGGATTCAAGAGTTATGTGAGCTATAAGATGCGTCTGCGCAAACAAAAGGAGGTGCAGAAGGAAAATGAGTTCTACATGCAGCTCCTACAGCAGGCCCTGCCTCCAGAACAACAGATGCTTCAGAGACAGGAACGAGAGACAGAGGAGGGTAAGATCACCATTTGACCAGTTTCATAATATGATCACCACCTCTTAATTTGTTAAAGGGGAAGCCATGCAAAACAAAGAAAAAAAATCATACAAAGACAAAAAAAAAAAAAAAAATCCATAATTTTCCATTAAAAATAAATTCATTTTGAAATTAAATTAATGAAAAGTGGCAGTTTTATAATGTTAAATAATAAATTATAATTATAAATGCTGTTGTTTTTTTTTATTTTGTACTGTTCTCTGAGGTCCACTTATAATGTTATCAATATTTTTACATCATAATTTAGAAGTAATAGGCTATTTTCTGTCCTGCTTTGACGCCCCTCATCAGAACTCTGTTTGAATAGGCTTGGCGGATTGTAGACTTGGAAGCAAACACCCACTGTTATGATTGGCTAATCGTTGTGTATGATTGACAGCGTACATTCTTCATAGATGGACGCTGTTGTGATATATTATTATTTTTTTAGGTCAAAAACGTATAAATAACTCAATACATCTCAAGCAATTTGTAAGAAGAGACAAAGCAATAGTGATCACGTAATGAAAACAGTTACTCATGTTGCGCCATTACTGTCGGATCAATACAGTCAGGATGTCATCATCTTTGAGTTTCAATCTTTTTGAAAATCACGCATCAAATTGTGCCTTGTTTGTAAATGAGTCGGCGGTAAAATGAAGTGAACAAAGGACCGAGTTCTTACTGATGCAATCTGGATCTTCATTAAAAATAAAGTTCATCCACTCTTTCCTAGCATTGGGATCAGAAGGAAGGCAATGCAAAAATGATGATTTTGATGTTGAGGTGTTGATCTTCTTCTACAGAGTCGGTGCTTATCCTCACTATTACATCATAAAGTAGAACATTCCAAAAGCTGTTGTTTTGGCAGACTGGCTTCAATATAAGCTGTTTTAGGCTAATGACAAAGTTTGAGATCTGAAACTTACATGATGTTTTTCTAGTACAATGACCTCTTATATGTCAAATGATCAAGGGAATTTTGGTGTCTCGGTTCATGACCCCTTTAAACTTTCTATGTAAATGTTCCTGTGGCTCAGTGGTATAGCATTGCGTTAGCAGCGCAAAGGTCGTGGGTTCAATTCCCAGGGAACACACATACTGATAAAAAATATAGCATGAATGCACTAAGTTGCTTTGGATCAAATTATTTATTTATTTTATTTTCTATTCATCAAAGAATCCTAAAAAAAGTGTATAATTTTTACAAGAACATTAAATTGTTTCAACATACTTACTACATAATACATTTTTCTTGAGCCGCAAATATCAGAATGATTTCTGACCGATCATGTGACATTGAAGACTGATGCTGAAAATTCAGCGTTGCCATCATAGGAAAATATTATATATTAAAATAGAAAAAGGTTTTTTTATTGTAGTATTTTACAGTATTACCGTTTTTACTGTATTTGATCAAGTTACAAGAACATTAAATTGTTTCAACATACTACTACATAATACATTTTTCTTGAGCCGCAAATATCAGAATGATTTCTGACCGATCATGTGACATTGAAGACTGATGCTGAAAATTCAGCGTTGCCATCATAGGAAAATATTATATATTAAAATAGAAAAAGGTTTTTTTTATTGTAGTATTTTACAGTATTACCGTTTTTACTGTATTTGATCAAATAAATGTAGCATAAGAGACTTATGAACAAAACAGAAATATCTTGACGACTCCAGTCCAAACCCCAACCATTGGACAATAGTGCATATTTTTAGTAACATTTTTATCTATTATGTGAAACAGTACAATACATTTGAAATATTTCTAACTACATTTATTGCATGACTGGTTCAACAATTGGAAACCAGTTATCATAAACATGGTTATTTCACAGTTTTATAAAAAAAATGTAAAAATATGTTTTGTGATTTTCGGCAACCCAATCAAAGAGATGAAGTCCTGGTTCATTCATTACACTGGGAATGAAAGGGCCAACTTTAGTGCATTGTAGGAAACAGTACTCAGTGCTGTGTGTTTTGGGTGTATACAACACATTTTGCCTAATGGTATCTAAGTATTCCATGCATACAGAACATTTTCATACAGTTCACATTAAGCATACTGCAAAAATAATATCAGTCATATGTTAATACTGCATAGCCTTTTCATTTGCCTGATGCTTTCCGTCTTGTTTCATTTGTAGTCATACCAGTCAGACAGCATTGCAATGTAACCTTAAAATCTCTTTCATTGATTTGGCAGCCACCTCAAAAGGCATGTCTGAAGCAGACTCTGTGTTAGTGGCTCAGAACGGCACTGCTATTACCAAGAAGCTGCCCGTCTCTCTGCCTGAACTGGAATACAAGGAGAAGGGCAAAGACGGGGGGAAAGACAAAAAACAGCAGCAGCACAGCATTGGAATAAACAACAACATCCTACAGACTGTGGATGCTAAACTACAGGATATTGAGTATATGGAGAACCACCTAAACACTAAGAGACTCAACAACGAGCTCAGCGGAAGCGCCGAGAACCTTTTCCTGAAAGAGGAGGTCGGTGGTGGTGGTGGAGGAGGAAGCTCTGCCACCTCCAAACATTACAAAAACTCCTCCCCCCATAGCCACAACTCCACCAATGGCAGCGTACCATCCTCCTCGTCCAGTAGGAGTGAAAAGAAACAGAAGTGTGCAGGGAAGAACCTTGCACCTCACAGAGATCTGATGGAGAACTGTATACCTAACAACCACCTCAGTAAGCCAGATGCATTAGTGCGGTAAGAGACCTAGTACGGTCTGATTCAGCGATTGGAGTGCGTTCGTCCTGTTCATTCTCTTTTTCTCTGTCTGGCAGGCTTGAGCAGGACATAAAGAAGCTGAAGGCTGACCTGCAGGCGAGCAGACAGGTGGAGCAAGACCTGCGCAGTCAGATCAGCTCTCTGAGCAGTGCCGAGAGGAGCATGCGCTCTGAGCTCGGCCAACTCCGCCAGGAAAACGAGTTGCTGCAGAACAAGTGAGAAATCAGCTGCTTAAAACCCATACAAGATGATTACCAGTATATGTCAAAACACATTTTACATGGGACTCTTGACAGATTTAATTGGGGACCACTTGACAGGTGGTGTTTTTCATTGAGGGTGAATACTAGTGTCAGTTATTTGAATATGTAAGACTGAAAATTCAACATTGATATGATAAATGATTGTGATTGGCCAGTCGTAATCAGTGCTGAGAAAGGTACTGGGTATGTAGGTAGTGACAATAGATATATAGATATTTACTCATTTTCAAATTATTTATTTCTAATTTAGTAAATTTTATAAAAAATAAATATAAATGTATAATGTGTGTGTGTGTGTCAGCATCAGTGCTGGCCATCATAAAATAAATACCACTGAAAAAATGACAAAAGCACGTGTTATAAATTATTAAAAGTTTGATTTAAAAATAAAAACAAATACAATTAAACTAAAAACTGAAAATACAGAAAAAAGGTAATTCCTAATATCAATAAATACTATAACAGCATATAAATAATATTAAAATGACACTGATTTAGACCCATATAACTGACCAGTTAGACGTTTGTTTGTTTGTTTGTTTTTAACCAGTAAATCCCATCAGTAATAATTTTTAATAATATATTTTATTAGTATATCACCCTTCATACTTTAAATTTTCAAATTGAAACGAAAAAGCTCAAACACTAAAAGCATACTTTAAAATAAAGAATCTGTTTCCAGCTATTATGCTAATCACTACAATTGTTAATTATTAGTACACTACTAGCTTACTATTTTCCTGTGGTAACACCTGCCTTTGTATCATCAGATGCTCATTTCCATCTCTCTACCTGAATTTGTTTATGCCAGTGTTGATTAAGTGTGTCTCTGTATTAGGCTTCATAATGCTGTGCAGGCCAAGCAGAAGGACAAGCAAACGATTGTGCAACTGGAGAAGCGACTTAAGGCAGAACAGGAAGCGCGAGCCGCGGTGGAAAAGCAGCTTGCAGAAGAGAAGAAAAGAAAGAAGATGGAAGAGGCCACAGCCGCACGTGCTGTCGCTCTGGCAGCTGCCTCCAGGTGAGACTTCAATCAAAAATATTGCTTCAACCCCGTATTCTGTGGAATAGTCTTTAAGTGATAATATGTTGCGGTGTGTGCTTATGTGTCTTGGTTTTGTTATGTCTGCGTGCTGGTGGACTTGACTCTGGCCTCCTTTCACAGAGGAGAGTGCACAGATTCACTGAGGAGTCGCATACGTGAGCTGGAGTCAGAGTGCAAGAAGCTCACACATGACATGAAGCTGAAGGAGGAACAAATCCGAGAGCTCGAGCTCAAAGCGCAAGTAAGCCAGAACCCCTGCTGACATGCTGCTTTAATATGCTTTCCCAAGAGTAATATTTAGAATAAAGCATTCAGGGAGGAATGACCTTTGTGAGGCATATTGTGGTTCAGTTAGTGTGTGATTTGTAGGAGAAAGTTATAAACATTTAAAATCAACATGAAATCAGAATTGTAATTTTTTTTTGTTTTACTTCAGTGCTCATTAATCCAAAGAAAATAATGTTTGTCTTTGTCATTTTTCGTTAATATAAACTTTTTCCACCGCTGGACCAACCTTCTTTTTCAGCTAATGTTGTCTAGGCCATGAAGGCTTCTGGTTAATCTTAACTCAATAACCAAATAACTATTTAACTGATTTAGTGATGCAAAAATATTGTCATGAAAATACACCAAGATCAAAAAACAAATCAGATTTGTTTCATATGAGCTTCAAGCTCATATGAATTTATTATCCAGAGGCCACAAATAAAGTGCAAAGTGTACCAAACGTTTTTGGGTTCAACCATTCATTCATCAGTGCCATGTTTAACAGTGCCATTTAACAGACTGTAATCATTACAATATTCCGGACATTGGTTATGGGAAAAAACATATATATTATAACTGTAACTATAGTAAAATCAAAGGCAAAAACATAAATATTCACATGATTATCATACTTAAATCTAAATAAATGATATCACAGTAAAATAATTCTATAATACATCTTTATCAATATAATTTAACAAATGTAGATAAAAAAAAAAAAGAGTATCAATCAGCATTTACAAAAAACAATTGAGAATTAATTTGTGAAAATATGTTTTTGTGGAAACCATGATACATTTTTCAGGATTTCATGATTAATAGAAAGTTGAAAAAAACAGCAATTTTTTTAATAGAAATCTGTTGTGAGCATTTTAATGCGTCCTTTCTGAATAAATTGGCTAAAGTAAAATAAAGTTTACCGACCCCAAACTTATTACAGTAGTGCATAACAGTAGTATACATTTCATGAGCAAATGATTTCCTGAAGTACTCTGAGAGAGAGAGAGAGAGAGAGAGAGAGAGAGAGAGATATATTAGTGTGTGTGTTTATATGAATAGCGAATCAATAATTATTGATTCACTGTTTATATAAAAACATAGTTATTTGAAACTAGGGATGCACCGGTATCGGGCCCGATACTGAGCTCCTGTACTCATACTCGTACTCGTTAAAATGCCCCGATACCAAACGCCGATACCACACAGCATGCGATAAGTGCCATATTCAGTCAAAGAAACACCGACAACAGACAGCAGAATGGAGTTAAGGATGTCTACTACGAAGTATATGTATGCAACAAATATAACGTTAAACTTTCAGTATTAACGCATGTATAGCTGATGTGCGCGAGCTGATAAACAAAGCACGCTGAGTGGATTGAGCGCGCGAGCTTGTCGAGTGAATATACCTTTCTCACAGACATCACTGGAAAGGTTACATGCCTTTCTATCAAACATTATCAAGCTGAATTTGTTCTGACAGTTTAACTCTGAGTTCTTGTCATATTTTATTACCATTTTCTAAACTATAGCAAATAAACTGTGATAATGTGACAAATGTTGATTGAAGGTGTCTGAGTAAATTTTGGTTTGACTGTATCTATTTGATAAATGAAGTTAACCAACTAACATTATACATACTCTTTTGGTTTCTGTACCCAATATTTAAAAAATTTACAAATGCAATAAAAGTATCGGTACTCGGTATCGGCAAGTACCAAAAATAAAAGTATCGGTATCGGGCGAGTACTGGAAAAAGTGGTATCAGTGCATCCCTATTTGAAACTTTTTTTTTAAAGTGATACCTGGTCTGATTTGGCCTGATTCCTGGGTCAAAGTGTTTATTCACTACATGATTGGCTGCAGATTCTCATTCAAGTCTGGAAGCAGCCTCATAGCGTTCAGGTGGATAAAATCTAATTTAAAGATTAATTTACCCCTTTATTCATTTTCCTCAAAATATTCTGTTTCACAGAAAAATATACCAAATTATGGATGTAAAATAAGTTGAATGGTGTTTCATATTGACTAAAACGTACCTTCAAATACAGAGGCGGACAGTAGTGAAGTATTTTTACTTTGCTGTAAAAGTACTTTTCAAGTGTCTGTACTTTATCTTTAAATTCTTTTTAAATACTTAAAGAAGTATTTTACTTTACTCAAGTAAATTAAAAAAGTATCTGTAGTTTATCAGAGTGCTTTTCTTTAGAAAATTTTACTTCACAGCATTCCAAAGCATAATATTGTACTTTTTACTGCACTACGTTTCATATTAAATATAATTTAATACTTAAGTACATTAGAAATCTTACTTTCTTATGTTTACTCAAGTAAAAGTAATGCAAAGATGTACTTGAGTGCAAGAAAGTACTACATTTTTAATGTTCTCAAGTATTAAAGGTAAAACAAACAAACAACTTTTATTTATGAAATGTAGTGCAAAAAGTATTATGCTTTGGAATGTAGTGAAGTAAAAGTTTTCCAAAGAAAAACACTCTGATAAACTACAGATACTTTTGAAATTTAATTGAGTAAAGTAAATAAACTTCACTACTGTCCGCCTCGGTTCAAATACTTAACTCTTTGTTTCTTTATGTGCAGGAACTGCGCAAATATAAGGAGAACGAAAAGGACACCGAGGTTCTGATGTCAGCGCTGTCGGCCATGCAGGACAAGACCCAGCACCTAGAGAACAGTCTGAGTGCTGAGACCAGAATCAAACTGGATCTCTTTTCAGCACTCGGAGATGCCAAGAGACAGCTAGAGATTGCTCAAGGTCTGCCCCCTTCCTGTCTTAATGCGTCTCTTTAGGCTTGTCTGCTTCTGCTCATTAACCTATTCTCTCTCTGTCCCGCACACAGGTCAGATTTTGCAGAAGGAGCAGGAGATAAAAGAATTGAAGCAGAAGATCGCAGAGGTCATGGCGGTCATGCCCAGCATCACCTACTCGGCAGAGACCAACAGCATGACCCCTGTGACCCCACATTACTCCTCCAAGTTCATGGACACCAGTCCTTCCAGCTTGGACCCCAATGCCTCCGTCTACCAGCCGCTCAAGAAGTGAATGTCCAATCACATCGTCCACTTTGCTCTTTGATTAGTCTAAGTTCAGTATGCAAACCAATGGGATGGGGTCGTATTTTTGTTTGATTTACCCCTCCTCTGTTAGTATGGCTCTTCTTTGTTGTTGATAAAATAAGTGGAGAAAATTAGAAAAAGGGATGTCACATTGACCAGAACTGCCCTCCTTGTGTTTAAGGTTATTTTTGAAGCTCTTACACCTAAAATCTTTTCTTGGTAATGGCACTTCAGCCTGTTGTGGTTCTTTTGTCGTCCTCCATCTGTTTTGTGAGGTCTTTATGAAGACCTTTCATGATTTTATTAGCGCCTCCTCATCTTTGTGTTGAATCTGAACAGTTTTATGTGCCAGCGACTTCTTTTACTTCCCTGGTATAAACGTACCATCTTTAAGTTTATCGAATGTAAAAAGAAAAGGGAAAACGTATTGAAATGAGCCCGAAGTATTTGTGATGGAAAAACAATGTGTTTGTTGCAATGGAGTGATTTACGAATGCATTTCAGTTTAAGTATGACCACAGTATTGTGCATCTTTTTTCTTTTCTTTTTTTCGAGGGAGGTAAAAAGCATTTCATTACAGATGTTGGATCTGAGTTGGCAATATTTTAGGTGTCTGTTCCTCGCGTTGCTGTTTTCTAAAAGGTCGAAGACACGAAAAAAACGACGTATTTAAAAAGGGACTGATCGTCACGTTGTATTTGTAGACAAAAATGCTGCATAAATATCCGGGAATGTTGTCGTATTTTGCGGTCAATGCAAGTCCTTTTTGTTACCGGACAAAATTGAAATAGAATTTAGTTGAAACCAGTTGAAAAGCTGAACATATGATGTCTTGTTTGCCAGTTGTTATGTTACACAGTGCCTTGAAATATCTTGTTTAATATAATACATGCCGTATTCACCCACCCCTAGAATCCATCTGATTGAGCCGTTTTTTTCTCTCGTTTTTTTCTCCCCCCAGTGTTGCGTTTAAAATCATCTGCCCTCTTGTTGCCATGTGCCACACAGTAACAACAAGCCCACTCTAATCCACTAGTTATCAATGGTCTGCTGTTTCTGTCATGTCTCTAATTTACATTAACATACTCATTGCATTTTATAATACTTCCTGAATGGTTTTATTTTGGTCAAATGTGCCAACTTTTCCTCCCTTCCTCCATTTAATGTCATTGAGGATAATGCAAACCATGCATCTTTTCATAGAGACATCATTCAGTGACTGGGATAACACCTGCAAATCAGTCCATTAATGCTTCATGACAGAGTTCTCCTTCACATTTCTTCTTCAGTGGTTTAAGGTTTGTGTCATGTTGCAGGCAGAATATGCTTGTTTGGTTTAGTCCTTGTTTTACAACAGGGCTTTCTTTTTTATTTGTCAACCTTGGGAAAGTATTACTGTGGATTGCATTTGGTGTTTTTATGGTAAACTTTGTGGAGAGTAAAGAACACGTCTTTGTTTCTCATTGTTTTATTTGAATTTTTTTAAAGAACAAAGCTACATATTGAGGTTGTGTGTGTGTGTGTGTGTGTGTGTATGTATACAGGCCAGGGGTGTAAAGTACATCATTACTGTACTTGTTAGGGAAATTTGCACTTCATTCAAATGCCATTGAAATTGAGTACTTTACATTTACAAATGGAGAAAATAATCATTTTTACTCCTTTCAGGGTCATTTTGCCTTCCAAATATGTAATCGGTCATAACTGATCTTTTATCCTTCTTGCATTTTTGCCAGTGTTATGAAGGTTTACAGCAGGCAAAGAATTCAATTTTAATGTGAGATTTAATTGGCTACAAATCCACTCATTCGTACTTGTGAAAAGACTGCAGGGCAATTATCACAAACTAAATCAAATAAATCTAAAACTAAATACAATATAAAATATATACAAATTAAATCAAATATAAAAAATAATACAAAAAAAAAATTATTTCATTACTTGCAATAGAATAATTATTCAAAAATATTTTTTGTTTAAGCGATTGCAGAGGAGGCATTTTTCAGTTTTGTTTAGTTTAAGTTGAAGGACTAAAATAACTCAAACTAAAATGTTATCATAAACTACATACACAATATATATAGACAAACACTAAAATTACAAAAAAAAACTAAAATTAAAATGTAAAAAGCACAAAATATTAAAATAAAATTGAATTGGCAATACTATAACACTGATCTGCCTTAGGACACATTTTGCAGATTTTCAACATTATTATTAGTAACAATTATTATTATTAAAAAATATTGAAATGCACAAGTGCATGAAATAAAGAAATCCTATTTCTTATTTTTTCCCCTTCTCAATAACTATCATTTGTTTGTTAAAAAAAACAAAAAAGGTTTGATATTGAGGGACCTTCAAATATCTTATATCTGAAAATCTCTTAAATATCTTAACTTATATTGAGGGGCCTTCCATAGTAGAACATGGTTAACTTGATTAGATTTGATCATTTTCAATAGAGGGCCATTTTGTATAGCCACATGAGGGCGACACAGATGAGATCAGTAGATTCCACTATGCTCTCACTTGTTTTTCATGTCTTGCTATTCTGGGAATCACGGACTGTGTTCTAAACCTTACCGATGTTGACTCGTCAGGCATTATAGGGACGGCGCTCATACCAGGTTCCTTAATACAAACCCGCTGTCTGCTAAGCGCTTGTTTGATATTCGCGCACACCCATTTGAAAAAGCACACATCTGCCGAGGCTTCGAACGGATTGTTTAACGCCGTTGCCATGGGAACAGAATCTTTGCGCCGAGTAACTCGAACGTCGTTTTGATTGACGGATGAAACGCCGCCCAGGAGACGCGGAGACTCCAGCATTCCCGCAGATGTCGGCGTCGACGCGGCCACAACAAAGTTGAGAGAGTGAGAAGACGTAGTTCATGGCCAACAGCAGCACCTGAAGACGCTTCTCCGCTTAGAAACCTCGCAATGGAGGTGCTCAAATCAGCCAGAAGGGCTTTTATTCGCAGTCCCAGCCTGACCAAACAGTCCTGGAGCTCAGGCAAACACCAAAGTGAGTATGTCAACAGCGAGACTGTCGTCTCATATTGCGTTTATCAGAAGTGTTAATCATGTTTGGTAATACACTCAAAAGAGGACGTTTTCCTAATAGTTAAGAAGCTTTGTCAGTTAGTTTGTGGGTCATTTTTTGATTACAATTTATAAATATTCTCTGAAAAGTTGTTTAATGAAAGGCACAGACGAGTATTTAAGTCACATCTATTGATGAGATTCGCAACCTTCGTACGAAACTACATGTTTTAGGGTTCATTAGTGGATGGCTGGGTCTCAAAACCTGTTGAGCTACCTATCTAGACAGCAGTAATGCCCAAAAACGCTGTCTAGGTTTTGAGAAATGGCTTTTTGCTGGAGCATGTCACCAACACTAGCACGCTTTTCATTAGCCCTCAAAAACCCAGCCATTTTATTTTAGCAAAGCACGTTTGTTTTAAGCGCGAATTTTGGGAGAGAAGAAAAGTTGCTAAATATTTCCAGGGTTGCACAGTTTCACCACTGTAATAATTCACTATGCAAGTACATACTTTCTTGGTCCCGGAGGCTGGAATGTGGATATGTTCATCTCAGAGCTGCTCTCTGACCCTCTGTGGAGATCCTGAGATATTTCTACATTTTGTTTTAAGCGCGAATTTTGGGAGAGAAGAAAAGTTGCTAAATATTTCCAGGGTTGCACAGTTTCACCACTGTAATAATTCTTGGTCCCGGAGGCTGGAATGTGGATCTGTTCATCTCAGAGCTGCTCTCTGACCCTCTGTGGAGATCCTGAGATATTTCTACACCTCACTGACCTCCTGTAATATATTCTGGAAAAGCACATGCAGAGGCCCACAGTGCAGTGGCTTTGACCTTTATAAATCTTCCAGAGAGATAACTGAAATTTCACTATGTTCTGTATCTCTGAAGGCTCCTCTGACTCTCTTAAGAGTTTTAGTAGGCTGCATCCAAAATATTTAGGAATATTTAGCTGTATAGTGTGACTTGTGTGAATAAAATACAATTTTGCCCAACAAGGCCAGCTGTTGCTTTTAAAATGTAACTTTATCTCAGGTTTACACTACTGCATGGGTGCCAATAATAGCCTTGTGGGCAAGTGCACCGACATATAGCGCCGTTGTGTTATTACTCGGGCATCCCAAGTTCGAATCCCGGCTCGGACCATTCCTGATCCTGTCCCCTCTCACGCTTCCACTCCGCTTGCTGTCTGCGCTACACTATCCTATCATAATAAAAAAAGGCAAAAAAAAAGTACACTACTGCTTTAGTTTGGTGTGGGAATAAAAAAAAAAAATACAATTTAAATGAACTGTTTTCTATGTTAGTATATATATATATATATATATATAAAAGCTTTATTCCTTGCATGCATCAGCATCATTAATACTCCAGTATTCAGTGTCAGATGACCCTTCAGAAGTCATTCTAATATGCTGATTTCAAGACACATTTATTATTATTATCATCATCATTTATGTTGAAAACAGTTGTGCTGCTTAATATTTTTGTGTGAACCACAATGCATTTTTTTTTTCTCAGGGAAATAGAAATAGAAATTTCAGAAGAACCACATTTATTAGAAGTCTTCTGAAACATTATAAATGTTTTTACTGTCACCTTTGATCAATGTAATGCGACTATGTGGGAATAAAAGTATTAATGACACAAACCTTTGAAATGTAGTGTATGTAGGTTGATATTTTTAAAACTTCACTTATAAATCAATTATATAATACTAAACGTGGGCAATTAAGGAATACATATATTATTGCTATTATTTGTTTCCTTTAATTGACTACATGTTTAGTCATTTATAAGTGATATGTTTTAAAACTGTAATTTAATTGCTATAAACAATTGTTGCAGTTTTGCTACAGTGGGTCCTTGAGGGTTAATTGAAAAGAGACCATATGAGAAGGATGAGAAGACAACAGTTTTGTGAAATAAACATGATGCAAAGCCAGCAGTGTGATTTTGTCTGCATCTGAAATCTGTTTCCTTCTCTTTGGCATCCATCCTGAACTAGTCTACAAGTAGGTACTTGTTTGCTGGCAGTCTCCAAGCTGTTCTAAGGCACATTTGTTTCAACAAAGACTTCTTCAAAGTTGCAATGGACTCAGACTCAGAGTTTTGAAAGCAGGTGAAGTGGGCTGGCTTGGTCTTTACAAGGGCAACTTTTTGTTTTCCTTTAGTGGGATCAGAAAGTTTGCTGTGTATTTTCATTTCCCCTTTAATTCTGTCTTGACTCCACAAAAGCGGCTCTGTTTGTTGGCTGAGAGCTGCTTATCTGTATGACCTGGAATACAAGAAGTCTGCAAGAACACTGTTATGATTGTGTTCGGTCATAATTAATATTTTTGTGTGAACCACAATGCATTTTTTTTTCTCAGGGAAATAGAAATAGAAATTTCAGAAGAACCACATTTATTAGAAGTCTTCTGAAACATTATAAATGTTTTTACTGTCACCTTTGATCAATGTAATGCGACTATGTGGGAATAAAAGTATTAATGACACAAACCTTTGAAATGTAGTGTATGTAGGTTGATATTTTTAAAACTTCACTTATAAATCAATTATATAATACTAAACGTGGGCAATTAAGGAATACATATATTATTGCTATTATTTGTTTCCTTTAATTGACTACATGTTTAGTCATTTATAAGTGATATGTTTTAAAACTGTAATTTAATTGCTATAAACAATTGTTGCAGTTTTGCTACAGTGGGTCCTTGAGGGTTAATTGAAAAGAGACCATATGAGAAGGATGAGAAGACAACAGTTTTGTGAAATAAACATGATGCAAAGCCAGCAGTGTGATTTTGTCTGCATCTGAAATCTGTTTCCTTCTCTTTGGCATCCATCCTGAACTAGTCTACAAGTAGGTACTTGTTTGCTGGCAGTCTCCAAGCTGTTCTAAGGCACATTTGTTTCAACAAAGACTTCTTCAAAGTTGCAATGGACTCAGACTCAGAGTTTTGAAAGCAGGTGAAGTGGGCTGGCTTGGTCTTTACAAGGGCAACTTTTTGTTTTCCTTTAGTGGGATCAGAAAGTTTGCTGTGTATTTTCATTTCCCCTTTAATTCTGTCTTGACTCCACAAAAGCGGCTCTGTTTGTTGGCTGAGAGCTGCTTATCTGTATGACCTGGAATACAAGAAGTCTGCAAGAACACTGTTATGATTGTGTTCGGTCATAATTCAGTCACAGTGAAGGCTAAGGCTTTGCCAAAATGGTAAAAGTTTCCAATATCAGCAAGCTACCAGTGTTTATAGGTTGTTCTCTCAATGGGTGAGTGATGAAGAATAAGACACATTTGTGTGTTTAACATTCTTTTGTTGATCTACTGACCTACTTTTAGCTGCAGTACAGACTTCAGCTCATTTCACTCCTTTTTGAGGAATCCAGACAAAGATCTTTTTTATTTGACTGGGTTGCAGTTGTTTATTTTGCCAATGAATCAACTTTTAAACCGGAGGTTTGATAACGATTCACCTTGTTATAGTTCATAATTACGTTCCTTCCTCTTGGAAGCATCTCATTCGGCTTTCTCCTATGATCACTTCTCATCAGAGTGATCAGAAATGTCCTTCTTGCTGCTCCAAAGTCGTGTGCCTGAACAGAGAAAGTGCATAGCTTGCAGCAAACATGGCTGCATTGTAATGAAGAGAGAGTTTTTATGGTGTTTTATAGTGGTGAGATTTATCGCCCGTGCCTCTGGATCTTTGGTGTGTCGGTGGCCTGCACAATCTAAAGAGTACAGCAGTCTGACGCAGAGAGCCACGGAGATGTCCAGCAGCAGCTGTTGAGCCTTTTCCAGGCAGTCCATTTGATAAAAGCATTGGATATTCACCTCTCATGTTTCATGAGGTGTTGTGTAGAAGTAGAAGCACGAGTCTAGGAGACTTACTAGGGAGACCTGGATTTTTTTTTTATTAACTTTTTTATGAAGATTTGTTCACAAAGCTATAGTTTCCCCCAAAGAAATTATGGTCCATTTCATAGTTGTTTGTAATTCACACACAAATCTCTCATATCAAGGTCCTCATTAACATGTCGCCATCACTTGCATCATCTACGTTTATCTGCATTTGTCTCGAAGCAAAAATGACTTCCTGTTTCTGAGAGTTCTGTTTATTTTTTTCATTTTGAAAAATAAACAAAATGACTTTTTTTCCCTCTCCATCCGGCCAAGACTGAAATAACTCCTTACCATGACCTCAGAAAAAAGAAAAAAAAAATCACAATTTTGCACTGTAATCATATCTGACCCAACAGCCAGTTGAGTTTCTGATTTTGGAGCTTGACGGCAGGTGGTGGTTTGGGTCACTCCACCTTTGGATGGTTCTTCAGGGATATGGTCAAGACAAAGTAGTGCCCCCCCCCGTGATTAAGGGCCCTTGGGTGTGTCACTAATCAGTATGTCACTAGGGCTGTATTATTACGCCCTTTTCCCTCTCTGCATGTCTGTGAATTACCCTGGTTTTATGCTGGGGTTGTAGGAGCTTTCAGGAGCTGTGGGGAAAGTAATGATATAGACCCTGTAGCTTCCTAAAGTGATTTAAGGACACAAGAAGTCACTCATCAGCATTTCAGTTTCTTTGTAATGATTTGATCATCTTTGGTATGACTGGTTTTGTTTATGCCACAATAGAGTTGTGAATTTTGCCCTTGTTGTGACATGTTTCTGTCGGCTGTGCACACAAATCAGCAATCTCTTCCTGAGACAGTGATTCACTGTTTCCTGTGTTTATGATTCCTGTAAATATGTATGATTCATTGAACAAGTAGTGGTACAGTAGCTTTAATAGTTGAGCATTTGAGAGGATTCTAGGATTCTAGCAGATCAGTGGCTTGTTCGGACTAAAGTAAATGAGATACAGGAATGGCCTTTTCCTTATGAATATGACTTAAAAATAGGGATGCACGATATATCGGCCACCATATCGGTATCGGCCCATATCGGCTCATTTTTTCTGTTATCGGTATCGGCCAGATAAGAAAATTTGGCCGATATCTTAAAGCCGATAAATAATGCATTATTTTCTTCAGAGACATAGTGCCGTTTACATCATATTGCCCCATGAGAACTTTTGAAGCACTGTTGAATGGCAAGACCATAACAAAAAAGCTTTTTTTCTTTCTTTTTTTCAATTTGTAGTATTTGTTTTTTATTTTTATTTTTATTTATAATGTAACATTTAGGTAGAATATATACTTTAATGGAATAGCTGGGTCATTATCATTAATTAGGATCATATAAAAAAATTAACACAATAAGGACGTACTTTGACTTACATACCTGTTTAACAAACCATTGAGATCATATAGAAAAATTTAACACAAAAGGGTGTATATTCACTATAGCTGTTTAACACATCTGACTTAATGGAAAGATGTCTTGTCTGTTTTGGATTGGTTCCTTTGTGTTGTAATTCCCAGAATTTGTCTGTGGGGATTTTCTGAATTTAACTGTTATAGCTCCACTGCGAAAAGCAGTCAGGTGACTGCAGGAGCCACAGGTAGTGTTACTAGAGCCAAACATGTGAGTGTCAACAGAAATAATTAGAGGGCTTATTTGTGTGCATATTAGTTAATGGATAGCTGAAACCGCTTAATGTGTTGTAATCAGATTGGGAAATTAATGCAGATTGTGAAGGCAGAAGTGTTGGAGGTTTTCTAATCACATTTACATTTTATATAATTGACACATTCCTGGCATCAACATTACAAGTAAAAATTTCTCAGAACTGTTAACGGAGTATTCAAAACACATGCTAATACAATACATGTGTTAATATTCAACCTAACCAAATAATTCTTTCCTAAGATGTGCAGTAGGGGTTTAAGCAAGACTTTTATATTTTCACATTATGTTTTTAGTAAAGATGAGCGGAGAAAAGACACTCCAGGATAGAAATTGGAGAAAAATGATACCAGAAACACTGCTTCAAGAAAGACATGTTTAATTTCTTGAAACCTCATCTCTTACAGCTGCTCCAGACCAGTCTTTTTGTTTTCAGTCAGCCCTGGAAATAAGGGTGTACAGGAGCATCCAAAATGTTTTTGGCCTGGAATATTTGAGTGGTTAGAGGTTTAAGGTTGATTCCAACAAATATTTGCTCATGCAGTGTGTTTTTTTTTTTCTTTCAATATTTCATAACTGTTCATGACCTCTACAGCACAAGTCTTTGGTGTGCACTTTGAAGCTGTTTGTCTGTGCTGACTTGGTTTAACCCACATGTGTGAATGTTTTTGTGGCTGTTTAGTGTTGCCTCATAAACTCTTCACTCTGTTCGTCTTTTCTCCCCTTGCTCCAGAGCTACCTGAGAACTGGACTGACAAAATTACATTGCAGGTAATTTTCAGAGAACGTACTTCCAGAATGCGCTGTGACGAGCTTGGTGAAACAAGTCTGTGACTGTAAACAATTTGAGAAAATTGATGATTATAAATCTGTTTTGTTCAATACTAAAAAAGTTTTGGTACAAAAGCAGGTCAATGTAATTATTGACTGTTTATAAATGGAATAGTTTACGAAGTATTTGTGTATGCAATGTATTTTTGCTTTTTGAAATGCTGTGTTGCTAGCTTAACAACATGCTAAAATTATTCAAATCAGTTGTGAGGATGGTTGCTTTTGCGGTTATTTCAGATGTGATTTTGTAGATATAAGGCAGCTCTCTCAAGGTTTCACAACATAGCTTTTATGTTTTATATGATATGATAGATGGATGGATGGATGATGGATAGATAGATAGATAAAAAGTAAATGAAGACGAAGAAAAAAAAAACAACACTTTGTACAAAGTTTTTATATGTATATTAGGGATGCACCGATATGAAAATTTTGCCCGATACCGATAACCGATTCTTCTTTATTTTTAAGACATTGCAGGTAATTTTCAGAGAACGTACTTCCAGAATGCGCTGTGACGAGCTTGGTGAAACAAGTCTGTGACTGTAAACAATTTGAGAAAATTGATGATTATAAATCTGTTTTGTTCAATACTAAAAAAGTTTTGGTACAAAAGCAGGTCAATGTAATTATTGACTGTTTATAAATGTAATAGTTTACAAAGTATTTGTGTATGCAATGTATTTTTGCTTTTTGAAATGCTGTGTTGCTAGCTTAACAACATGCTAAAATTATTCAAATCAATTGTGAGGATGGTTGCTTTTGCGGTTATTTCAGATGTGATTTTGTAGATATAAGGCAGCTCTCTCAAGGTTTCACAACATAGCTTTTATGTTTTATATGATATGATAGATGGATGGATGATGGATAGATAGATAGATAAAAAGTAAATGAAGACGAAGAAAAAAAACCAACACTTTGTACAAAGTTTTTATATGTATATATTTATTTATATCTATATAGAGAGAGAGGCAGATCTAGTTATTTTAATATAGCTTTATGTGAAATTCAGACTATTTCTGTGTCTTTTGGTTTGATTTGTTTAGATATGTTATTTGGTATAAAAAGTTTGCCAACCACTTATGACTGATATTGAAATGCCTTAAAAATATGCATACATGTTGTACGTGTATGTTGTTCTTGTGTGTATAATGCACAGATACTACAGTTCCCCTTCATCCTGTCTTAATGACTCGATCTTGTCTTGTCTTGTTGTGTTCACTCAGGCCCAGGCGGTCACACTCACGGTGGCTCAGGCCTTCAAAGTGGCCTTCGAGTTCTGGGAGGTTGCCAAAAAAGGTACAGAGTATCATATCTCTCCACAGAACAATGTGGAGGTCGTATATTACTGCAGAGGATCATACGCCACAAGTGAAAAATAATTGGTCACTTTGTTTTGAAGAATATGCTCTCCTGATGGGGTCTTTGAGGGCATTGAGGCTGTAGTGATTGATTATGGCAGTCGGGCCATTGCTCTGTTGCCTTTTCATGATATAGAAAAGATGGACACACAAAATGATTTGATTTTTAGATTTGGTAAACAGAAGCCAGTTAATGCATCACAAAGAAATTCCTTGTATATCTTCAACTTTACAGACAAATTTTAAAAAATGATGTGACCAGATTACAACATAAAATTAATACTTAAAGGAATGAAACATTTCCAAAATTAACATTTACTCACCAAGTGAATGGGTGCGTCAGAATAAGAGTCCAAACAGGTGATAAAAACATCAAAATAATCCACAAGTACTCCACACCACTCCAGTCCATCAGTTAACATCTTAGTGAAGTGAAAAGCTGTATGTGTTTGTAAGAAATAAATAGAATATTACAATGTTTTTAACTTTATAAAAAATGATGTGACCAGATTACAACATAATATTAATACTTAAAGGAATGAAACATTTCCAAAATTAACATTTACTCACCAAGTGAATGGGTGCGTCAGAATAAGAGTCCAAACAGGTGATAAAAACATCAAAATAATCCACAAGTACTCCAGTCCATCAGTTAACATCTTAGTGAAGTGAAAAGCTGTATGAATTTAATTCATGTGTTGCTCTACTTTCAGAGAGAGAGAACCGTGAGAAATGGGATTCAGCTGGAGAGACGTCCAACAGTTCACAGTCAGAGAGATCGGTCAGCCTGAACAGCCTTAAAGTAGGAGGTACAAACTAGGGTTGTGCCGATAGACGATAGTATCGTGTATCGACGATAGAAAGAGATATCGCCTGTGGCTGAGGCCTTTGACGATAGCAAGACGATTATTATTATTATCAGGCTAGTAATATTATCTAATTAATATTAGGGCTTATTTGCAGTGGTGGCTCGTCGGGGGAGGCAGGGGAGGCACAGCTTCCCCATAATTTTGAGGTGAAAATGGGAGGAGGACGATTTAATGTTAATAAAATTCACAATTCATTTCAGTTCATGTCTCAGAATGTAGGGTTGTGCCGATAGACGATAGTATCGTGTATCGACGATAGAAAGAGATATCGCCTGTGGCTGAGGCCTTTGACGATAGCAAGACGATTATTATTATCAGGCTAGTAATATTATCTAATTAATATTAGGGCTTATTTGCAGTGGTCGCTCGTCGGGGGAGGCAGGGGAGGCACAGCTTCCCCATAATTTTGAGGTGAAAATGGGAGGAGGACGATTTAATGTTAATAAAATTCACAATTCATTTCAGTTCATGTCTCAGAATGTGTATTTTTGTTTGTAATTTCACAGTTGTAATACCATAACGTGAAAGCGCCACTTTTCTATCGTGAATGTGCCGAATCTGCTGATGTAATTACAACCACTAGGTGATAGAGAAGGGTAGGGGAGGCCAGGGGAGAGATGAGCTCTCGTGCCTCCGTTGGTAAAAACAAATTAGCCAATCAGCACCGAGTGTTCACTTTCAGCGCTGAGGATTGTTGAGAAAAGATCATCATAGAGACGTAAATTACGTGATATTAGTTTGTACGTCTGCTGCTGCGCTGATAATGTACCAAGTACTTATGATGAGTAGCGATATTGAATATTTGATTGCCAACAGATTTTCCAAGCTGTCATTCAAACAGTATATATACAAATTTAGGGAAAACAGCCTAAGCTGGATATAGGCTACAGCAGTCGGCTTAATTAAATGGCACAACAGGCAGCTCTCTTTTAACACAGACTTTTAAGAAGGGATGGATGTTTGCTTCAAGTGATAGGCCAGGTAAGTGAAATTATATTATCTTGCTGTATGTATGTCGTTTTCTTTACGTTTTCTGACCAAAAGCAACCAAAAAGCCATTTTAAAGTGGTTAAGCTAATAATAATAATCGGCAGGGATCCCAGACCATACAATTTAGTGTGCCTCCTCTATTTTAAACCCCACGAGCCGCCACTGGTCATTACTGAGGTCGCTGGCCTTTGTAGTAATGCTGAGAACATAACATTAGGGTTTCTCAGTGTACTAAGGTAACCAAAATACACATTACCATTCAAAAGTTTGGGGTCTGTAAATTAATTAATTAAATTTAATAAATTATTTTTAAATACACTCTTACGCTCACTAATGCTATATTTATTTGATAAAAAATACAGTAATACTGTGAAATACTACCATTTAAAAAGTCTTTATTCTATTTTATCAATTTGTAATGTAATTTATTTTTGTGATAGCAAAGCTGACATTTTTTAGCAGCCATCACTCAGGTCTTCATTGCTAGAAATATCAGCAAATTCTAATATGCTAATTTGGTGCTCAATTATTCTTTTTGAATCAATCCAAACCTGTGTAGCTAAGGGCTATGCATTTGGAGAATTCAGAAATCAGCACCAGGGTTAGACATTACTCCGTTACCTTTTTCTTTTCGGTGCCATGCTCCGAAGACTCTCCTTCCTCGCGATCCTCCATTTTCCTCTTTGTTCCCCTTGCTTCGGAATCCTCTCCCTGTTCACCGCTCTCTTTCTCTACCTCTTCCTCTGCTGTCTCGGCTACACTCTGTAGCACCTCTTGCTCAGACGTGGATGGTGTGCTCTGATTGGTTGTGTCTTCGGGCTGTAATTCTGGTTCTTGTTTTTGAACTTCGTCTTCTACAGTCAATTCCTGACCCTGTTGTGACGGCCCAGCATCTTCCGCAGGATCTTCTGGTCTTGCCACTTCCTGCTCACATGTTTTCACTTCAGGTTCAACCGCCTCTACTCTGGTGTCCTCTTCATGGCCTTCTGCATCTTCACTGATTACAAGACTCTCTATTTGATCCTTGCCAACCACAGGTTCATTTCTCTCAACCGCTCCAATGTTTTCAATTTCCTCCATGGTCCCCTTGTCCTTGATTCTTTCATCTGCATAGACACTCCTCACACCCTCCATCTCCTCGATCCCTGGTTCAACTTCTCGCTCTCTCTCCATGCAGAACATTTCCATCCCTTGCTGCTCCTCTGCCTCAATCATGACCTCTGCCTCCTCCTCGCCCATCATCCCTCTGCCAGTATTTATACCGATTTCATCAGGCTCCGGAAATTCTTCAAAAAGAACACAAAGCATGGCCTTCTCAGCTGCCATATTGCAACTCTTGCGCCATCAGAACAGTGTTCAACGCACCACCGTTTCCGTTTAAAAAACGTTTTGCACCGTTTTGTCGGAGCTGAACGCAGCCCTGTTGACTCGCGAATTCTCTCATCATAAACAACAAAGTGCAGATGTACGTGCGATGTAAGTTTAAGAGATTTATTCATACAGTGTATATTCACTGATTTTAACGGGAGTGTTTTTAACGTGCATAACGCGCTAGACTGAGCTTGTGATGATGTTCTTTGGTAATGTAATGTTCTTTGCTCGTTTTCTGTAGCTGCTTTTTGAATAACAGGAAATGTAAGCATTGCAATTAGTAACTTACGATGTTTCTATTAATTTGTTATAATGTTAAATACAAATTCAGTCATATTAAAAACATTAGGCTGCTTTTATCCTTACGCTAGAGTTGGTTCACTTTCTCGCAATGAAACTAAGTAAATAATTACATAAATTAGCACGATAATATCGTGTATCGGCGATCTCACAGGCTGACGATATGAAAATTGAGCATATCGCCCAACACTAGTACAAACTCCTTAAACTCGCTGTGCCTTCTATTCTATTCTATTCTATTCTATTCTATGTGTGTGTGTGTGATCCATCCCTTTAGCACTTTGATACTAATGGGCTATGTATCTATTCTAGCAGTAGCTACAGAGAACCTGTTGGACATTGATGATTACTCATCTGCTGTGGAAAATGTGGACAATCCTCCCGAACCCAACAACAACAGCACCACCCTATGGGTAAGATCTTGTCCTTGTACACCGGCTTTTCTCTTAAATGAGACTCTCAGGGAGGATTCTACACGAGTGACTGCTGGCCATTAACTTTGCTCGTCTTGTTACAATTCGACTACCATTTTGTTCCTCTTTTCAGGAGATGAATGATGGTCTGGAAGAGGCTTTTTCAAGGTATGAGGCACCCAAAGCTGTTCTTATCTCCTCTCACAAGCTTCTGTCTCATCTAAATCTCCTTTCTATCTCTCTTCAATGAGGGGCAGGAAGGGCTAATCCTTGAGAAGTGAGCTGCATGTAAAAAAACATCTCGCACGTCAAGACGATCTCAAACTACATACAGTCTTTCTGTGTATGTTCTCAAAGATTGTTGGAACCGTTTGAAAGATTTCTTTTTGTTTGCTCCGCATACTTCTTGGCCTTTGATTAATCATCCGGAGCAATTGAGCAAAGGCACTTTTCCCATACCGAGGTCTCATGAGACAGATTTTCTGATTGTATTTGTTTATTTTCCACAGAACCAAGCTAGAGCTTTACTTAACAGTAGTTTGTCAGGGTATAATTCGCCCTGCAAATATAGAGTTGGCCTTCAATTCAAAGATGACAACCCTGACCTGAATATTTGTGCTTTGAGTACAAATGCTTACAATTTTGTTTAAATCCACCAAACAAGCTGAACATGGAATGCTTGGAAATGTTTCGTCAACAAGATTCTTATCTATTTATTGTATTTTTTTCTTTCCTTTCAACTGCTGTTTTTGTCTGCTTTTTGTCAGACTTATAATGGTTGTAATGAATAATTGATATTGTGAATAAGAAAATAAAATAATGTGTATTATAATAATTATTATTATTAATGAAAAAAACTGTAGAGCTGAGCAAATGAATTAGAATAAGAAAATGAGATTGCTTAAATGCAGTTTGTTACTTATTTAGTCATTTATTACTTAATATACATTTATATAAGTCTAGCATCAGAGGAACCGTGTTTTGACTGAAGGAATATTTATCAGATTAATTGATGATGGGAGCAGCCTTATTGAGCAGCAACATCTTCATCTGGGCTGAAGCAGCTAATACCGCATTTAACCTTTCATGCCTACTGGAAGATTAATATCAAAAACTGGCTGTTTCATGCATTATCACTTGTTTTAAATAGAACTGTTTCTTAAAGGGGTACAGAGAAGCATCCTGCGGCCCTTGATTGTTGTGCTCTCTCTTTGTTCCTAGCTGCAGTTTGGATAGCTATGAGTACTCTCCAGGTAACAAGTACAGGTCCAGTCCTGTACCAATCCAACCTGAGCTCAACTTCCACCCGCTCCATACCCAAATCTGTGTTCTGTTTATATACTGTCTGTCAATCTGTAACGTCATTCCCCTCCCCTGTTGTCTTCCAGAACCCTGCCAACTTTCACTGATCAACCCAACCAAATTAGCATCCTGGGCTGGTACTGACCCAACACACAGATCTAATTGTGAATTTGATGGCAGGGTTCTGCAATGACCCATATTTAAATACAATGTGGTTTGTTTACAATATCCCATCATTCTCAGTCTAGCCAGTTTGTACGTTATTTGTGTTTTCATCCTGTTTTTGTTTTTTATCCCTTAACATAACACCTAGTTAAAAGTGTAATACAATTACATTGATGTACTGCATGCCTTCTAACCTTACAAATAAAACCATACCAGTTGTTAGCATATTAGCTACCAATCAAATGTGGCCTTTCAAGGAATCACCCAAAAAATGAAAATTTGTTGAAAATGTACTCACCCTCAGGCCATCCAAGATGTAGAGGAGTTTGTTTCTTCATCAAAACAGATCTGTAGAAATTAAGCAATGCATCACTTGCTCACCAGTGGATCCTCTGCAGTGAATGGGTGCCGTCAGAATGAGAGTCCAAACAGCTAAATAATAATCCACACAACTCCAGTCCAACTATTAACGTCTTGTGAAGTCAACAGCTATGTGTTTGAAATAAATCCATTAAGATGTTTGTAACTTTAAACAAGTTCTCTATCCATAATATTGCTCTGTCCATAATTGAAAAAATATACATACAATAATTGATGGACTGGAGTGGTGTGGATTATTGTGATGTTTTTATCAGCTGTTTGGACTCTCATTCTGACGGCACCCATTCACTGCAGAGCATCCACTGGTGAGCAAGTGATGCAATGCTAGATTTCTCCAAATCTGTTCTGATGAAGAAACAGACATCTTAGAAAGCCTGAAGGTGAGTAAATTTTCTGGAAATGTACATTTTTTTTTGGGTGAAATATTCCTTTAATGAAACCTTTAGACCCATGTGGGCAATTCCAACTTTACAAATGTGACGAAATCAGAGGATTTATTCTTCATTTATACTTATTTACCCAATTACCTATGTTAATCAAACCTGTACATCTGCATCACTGAAGAGTTTCAGCTTTTTCAGTTGGCATTCTTCTGTCTCTTTCCCCGTAGACTCGCTAAGTCTCGTACTAACCCCCGGGTCCTGGACATTGGAGTGAGGCCTCAGGACTGGAACTCTGAGACCGATTGGGACAAGACCAATGGAAACACACCAAACGCCGATGAGCTCTTCAGTCTCTGAGCACAGATACGTTTGTGGGAGGAAGTAGATCCAGGAACCTCATGCAGGAGTCTTCTGCCAGTCGAGAGGGCGGCGCACTGGTCCTTCTCGTCCCGATCATCTGGTCCATTACACCAAAGCAATAGCAGATGAGTCTATTTTTGCAACAAAAAAAAAAACTACTATACCCGAGTTTACATGCTTTATTTTTATCAATCAAATTGTATACAGAATAATGTATTTAGATACCAGAGTCAGTATTGTTTCATGTATGTTTATCATATGAAATGTAACATTGTGTATATTCAGGTGCACTGTGTGGAGTTACTTTAAGGTCTAACGCTGTAGTTTGCTGCTGCTTTGCGATTCATTTATCACCACAATGCTCTTCATTAACGATAACATTGAAATCATCGTTAAATTGACAGTACAGCTTATCTTTAGTGTCTTATGAGGCTTGTGAATCATATTTTGGTATTTACATGTTATTTTTTATTTAATCCAGACTGTATGATTGTTATAACACCCAAAGGGGCCATTTAATATTTCTCTAAAAAAATCTAATAAACATGTTAAAATGATCTAAGAATTTAGCCCATTATTATTATTTTTTTTTATTTGTATTTTATGTGTAGTTCATTATATGGTATTCCATGATCTTATTAGTATTACTAGTATTAGTATTACCTTGATATTTCATTATCTGTTATATATGTTAAATATCTTTTGAACTATTTGTCCTATGTAGGGTTGTTGGGATTCTGGAGAATATATCTCTGGCAGATATTATTACATTACATTATTTAGCTTTAATAACTTACTTATTCATGCATATTTGTCCTTTTCCAAATTAATTTCTCACATTGCTAGTGCTACACCATCCATTTAATTCAATCAAAAAGGTGCTAAAATGTAATTAAATGTAATATTAAATGTTAAATATTTTTAAATATAAATTAAAAAATGTAATCTGTGTATATCCTATAACTATATTCTTTATCTTATAACAGACCAAATTGTTTTGATGATTATTTTTTTCTAACCGTTTTTAGTCACCAGGAGAGGGCAGCATTGCCTTCTAAATTTCTCTGGCTCTTCATCTCCATTTTAGTTTTTGTGTGAAACAGTGTTTTTGTGCATGAGGTGGATTTCTTTCACTTTTTCTATATTCGTCCCAGATGACACAAAATGCACTTGACACATGTAGAGCAGCTGCAGCAGAGTCTATTTGAAATACCACAGGAGAGTTATTGTGGCCATGGATGGCGATATATATTGGCAAGAGCACCCTATACTTTGCCTGAAAACCTCAGACCTGTAAATCAAATACCAAGCAGGTCTTATTGAGAGCTCACTGGATATCAATTCAGATTCTATATAATGGTGGTTTCCTGTAACCCAAAGACCGCTTTCCTTAAAGGGATAGTTCACCCAAAAATGAAAGTTCTGTCATTAATTACTCTCCCTCATGTCGTTCCAAACCTGTAAGACCTCCGTTCATCTTCAGAACACAAATTAAGATATTTTTGATGAAATTTGAGAGCTTTCTGACCCTGCATAGACGGCAATGCAACAGACACATTAAAGGCCCAGAAACGTAGTAAGGACATCATTAAAATAGTCCATGTGACATCAGTGCTTCGACCGTAATTTTATGAAGCTACGAGAATACTTTTTGCATGCAAAGAAAACAAAACGACTTTATTCAACAATTTCTTCTCTTCCGTGTCAGTCTTCAACGCACATTCATGGACTATTTTAATGATGTCCTTACTACCTTTCTGGGCCTTGAACATGTCAGTTGCGTTGCTGTCTATGCAGGGTCAGAAAGCTCTCGGATTTCATCAAAAATATCTTAATTTGTGTTCTGAAGATGAACGAAGGTCTTCTGGGTTTGGAACGGCATGAGGGTGAATAATTGCTAAAAGGATTTTTCATTCATTTTTGGGTGAACTATCCCTTTAAGTACATGTGATTTTGTTTGTCAACATGGACTAACTTGACCTTTGTGTTCCTATAAAAAATGGACAAGTTTTTTCTGTACCTTTTTCCTCGGCTTATAGAATGGAACCCAAGCGGTTGACGTGCGTGTGGTTGTGTGTGTACATGTGTGGAGTCAGGTGTGCATGTGGGTTGAAGCGTGTGACGCAAAGTGCTCAAGAGAATCCTTGACGCACCAATACACGCACACGCACTCAAACAAAAACGTGTCTAAAAATGTGTGGGAGGCTCAGAGCTTCAGAAATGTTCTCCCCTCATACAATCCGTATCCTCTCGCCTGAGGACTTTCCCTCAAACTTCATTGGCATTCGTTCTGTAACGTACCCCTCCAAATTGTGTGAAATGTTCAAGTCATATTTCCTTTTCTGTCTCTCGTCTATATATAGGTGAATTGTGGGTGAAATGCCATCGATTTCACCAAGGTCTCTAGTTCAGAACGGATGAAGCTTACGCTTTACAGCCAGTAAAAATAGATTAAACCTAAAGGGCAGAAAGTCCGGAGCACACAGGCATCTGTATTCACAGGGCCACTGTCTGTGAATGGCTGATGGGATTTTGCTTGCACTTTAAACACACCAAGGTTGAACAAGATGGATGGGTTTGATCACAGAGTCGGTCGAGAATCTGCAGCCCATTACTTTTTTCTTTATTTTTTACCTTAGAAGCCATCTTCTATAATTCACTGCTCAGCTGAGTAATTTTGATATAACAGCCATCCTTTGTGTACGTTTGACCCAGATGAATAGCACCGATCTGAAAAGTTCCAGCTGAAGGTCTTTAATTTTATGCCGGATGTGGGATATTTCTTACCGTTCAGCTAGTGCTATATTATACGGAGTGCATAGCAGATTTATTTAAATTACCATAAAACATTTTTTAAACAGTCAGTGAAGTGTTATTTCTTCATTAGTCAGTGATGGCTTAAATACAGCCTGTCAACTTCTTTTTTTTTACTGAAGAAACAGCTTGGAGGAAGTCCATAATTAAACCATCATGATTTGATGAGACAGACAGTGTTTTATTGGTATTGTAACCACAAACAAAATGCACAATGTGGTTACACAATGAATTTGGATGCTTAATTTATGAATGTCAGTGCATTAGATACAAAATATCAAACCGAGTGGCATACACTCACTAAAAATGACCCAGTTTTACAGACCAGTTGATTAAAAGTAGTTACGAAAATGATAAAAGTGATTTTGTGTCATCTAATGCAGAGATATCCGTACATTAGAGTAATTACAGTCCATTGTTCTGGAAGAGTAGGTTCACTTATAGTCTATTTCTGATGAAGTGGCCGTGTAAGTGCTGGTTTGATGCCAGCTAACTGAACATTTGCTTGCTGTTGCAGGTCAGTGCTGTGCTGTCACTGGAAATCGTATGAGTCTTGTACATCTATTTTTATCTCTGTTAAAGGTAAGCATTCGGTTTTCTGAGATGTATCCCACGCTGTTGCAAATTCTGCTGATTTGGCTATTAGACCGTGTTCTTTAGCTGATTAACATTGATTCGGTTTTGCTAAAACTACAACAACAACAACAAAAAAAGGTTTGTGATGGTCTTGAAAGCATGCAAGAATGTGCTAGACACCTCAAACCAATAACGCCTAGCATCATATGGCATAGAAAATCGTGTTTATAAATGTATGGATGTTGATAATAGCTGAATAATTAATTTGCAGCTTGTTGTATATGTTCTCTTTGTAAAGAGATAGAGAGATTTTTTTTGTCTTAATATATTTATTTTTGTCTCAAAGTATTAGAAGTTATATTTTTTTAATTTAAAATAATTATGTAATATTTTTGACAAATTTTAAAGAACTTTAAATGTCACAATATATATTTTTTTCTCAATGGGAGAAAATGTAAAGAACTTAAAATGTTATTAATGTTAAATGTTAAAAATGTACCTGTTTCAAGAAAAAAAAAAGCTTTGCTAAAAATTTAAATATAACTGAGAATTCAATTGGACATTTTTTAAAGGAAAAAAATAAATTTTGTGAGGGGGAAAAAATGTACAGAAAACATATCTAATTAAAAATGTAAATATTTCTAGGAAATATAAATATGTTTCAAGAAAATATAAAAATGCTTTGCTAAAAATGAAAATATAACACATTTGAAAATATAAAATTTTTTGAAGAAAAGTTTTACATTTTGTAAAGGGAATAAATGTAAAGAAAACATAACTGATTGAAAAATATAAATATTTCTAGCAAATATAGAAATAGACATTTTTAATAAAAGCATTTTTTTTTCTTTTACATTTTTACACAAGAAAAAAAAAGTACAGAAAAATTATTTTAATAAAAAAATATACATGTTACTTCTAGGTAAGTAATAATAAAATAAATAAATAAAATCCTTACTTTTGTAGCCAACAAGTAACCACCTGTTCACTAAACATATGACAAATAATGCATTCTAAATTGCAGGGAGATTAAACGGTAGTTTCTACAAAATATACAGTAATGGGCTTCTAGAGGAAAAAAAAGAAGAATCAGACACTAGCTTGAAAATACATGATCCTTTATTTTCTGTGGTTGTACATAATTATACATTTATCTATTTTATGCCCATATAAATTGTATAATTCTGTGTAGAATAGCAGAAACATGCTAGCCCTCATGAAGCATTGTTCAAGAACAACAGTTAACATAGACTCGATGGATTACATAAAACATTCCTTCTGTTTTGAAATCCATGCGCTATAGTAAATATGTGGAACGAATGTCATCGTCACGTTAGTTATGCACCGCTCTGACTCCAGCCGTCACGTCTACTGAGTTCATCTCATTCATTTGGGTTCTTTAAGGCATGATCTCTCTGCTTTGCCTTCAGTATAGACATTCAGGATGCTTTACTGGAAATGCTAAGTTGCCACGACACAGAACTATATACAAGAAATGCTCATTTGAAACCCTCTTAATGTAGCATAATCTTAACCTGACACCTTATTTTAAGTTATGGTGTGTAACTGTATGCCGAGTGAAAGGATGATTTCACACAGACT